CCTGTTCCTCCATCCCTTGTCCCCAGTCCCTCTCCAGCTCTCTTGCAGTCTCCTTTCCTGGCAGCACATTCCTACTTTGGGAATCCTGCCCATTTAATCCATAATTCAGGGCAGAGGACCCTCTGTTTTCCAAGGAGTTCATCCACCAGCCTATTTTTTTATCTTCTTTCTCCTGGCTGTGTCTTTGTCCTCTATTTTTAATAGAGAAGATGTAAAAGATGTGAAGAAATCATGGGATCGGGGAATCTCAGAATCCCAGAATGGTTTGGGTTGGAAGGGACCTTTAAAACCCATCTTATTCCAAACACTTCCATGGGCAGGGACACCTCCCGCCAGCCCAGGTTGCTCCAACCTGGCCTTGGACACTTCCAGGGATCCAGGGGCAGCCACAGCTTCTCTGGGCAACCTGGGCCAGGGCCTCCCCACCCTCCTAGCCAGGAATTCCTTCCCAAGATCCCATCTCTCCCTGCCCTCTGGGTTTCCTTCATTTCCCTCTTTGGGTTGGGCAGATCCTTTGAGATTCTCTTATTTCTCTCCTTTGAGATTCCCTCATTTCTCCCCTTTGGGTTTCCCTCATTTCTCCCCTTTGTCTAGGGTTGTATATCTCCCAGAACTATTTTGCTGTAGGAAGATCTGAGGGTCTTCTCTGAACCTAAAACATCTCAAAAATTTAAAGATTTAAACATTTCAAAAGTGTAAAATTTAAATATTTCTGCTGCCTCGGCCTGAAGTCAGCACAAATATATCCACAAGTAATTCCAAGTCACCCCACCAGGATGTCACCTTTGGTAATTCCCAGCTCTGGGATGGCCTGGAAACCCCTTTTTGGGTGTCCCTGTGTGTAGAAGGGTGCATTATTCCCTGTCCCAGGAGTTTGGGAGCGGGTGGGGTGAGAGGAGGGGGGATTCCACTGTCACTGTGGAGCGACCGTGGCTGAAAGTGGAGCAGAAAACAAGAGGGGACTTTGCCACTGCACATGGCTGGGAATGTTTTCCTCCTGCCATTCCCATTTTCCTCCTGGCATTCCCATTTTCCTCCTGGCATTCCCAACCTTCACGTTGTCCCTATCTGCTCACAGCTCATAAAAGGAGCACCTGAGCACTGCCCTCATCCCAATCCTCCCCTTATCCATCCCAAATCCACACCTGCAGCAGAGGTGGGGGTTCCCCTCCCTAATTCCAGTCAATTGGAATAAATAATTTGCAATTGAGTTCCTGCTGCAATTCTGTGGATTTTAAACAATCTTAATTGTGTTCAGGGGAAAAAAAAAATTAAATCATTAATCTGTGGTTTGATCATGGCATTTAATCAGTTTGTAGCAATTAATTCCCAGTATTTCTACCATAATTATTATTAATTATAATTCATTCCAACCATTTCTTTAAAAACGGTTGGTTTTTTGTATGAATATACATGCACAGACCTGAAAACTGTTTCCTTCCTCTTTAAAACAAAGGAATATATATATTTTTTTGTATATTTATATATATATATATTCAGCAGACTGGCTGAGTGTCTCCAGGTTTGGGGATATGCTGAGTTTAGAACTGTCTGCAGTTCAGCTCCTCTGGGAACCAGGGGAGTGTGAATTCATCAGATGCCTCTGAGGCTTGTAAATGTGTCACCTTGTTTTCTAAAGCTTGTCTTACTGAAGCAAGAGCAGAGCAACAGCTGGGAAAATGCAACATTTCACTCCCAGGCAGATATTTAGAAGGAAAAACAGGGATTTCACTGGTGGTGTCACGTTAGCACTGGTCAATGTGGGACCATTGCTTAAGGTTTGTTTGAAAAAATACCTTTTTACTACAGAAATTCAACGTGGTGTCAAATCTGGAAACGGGCAAAGGAGGCACGAGAGGATTTTTGGCAACAAAAAACCCTGAAAGAAATTGGATTTTTTCCACAAACAGGCTGTGGCCAAAGCGATTCTCTCCTGGCTGATTCAGGAGCGTTTCAGGGAGATTGGGCTGGGAGGGAGCAGGAGCTGAAGTATTTTTGTTTTCTGTCTGTTTTGTGTAACTGAAGTACAAGTGGTTACCCTGGGAATGAGGGATCTGTCTTTTTTACTGAGCTATTAATCATCTTCCAGCTCTATGTCTAGAAACAGCAAAGGACAGAATCACTGAGCCTGCCTGGCTAAAATGGGCCTGTTGTGCTCTCTATTTTGGTCCAGAGGATTTCCAGCTGTAAATCTGGGCTTGTGCAACACTGGAAAAAAAAAGGCTTTTTTTTTTTTAGTACATTTAATGTGCTATTTTCCAAATGAATTGGAGCACCAGAGTTTGATGGTATGTGGGTGGCAGTGTCTTTCTACACCTGCATCAGGGATGAAAGGTGGGTTTAAATGGCTTCAAACTGGAAGAAAGTAGGTTTAGATGGGATATTGGGAAGGAATTCCTGGCTGGGAGGGTGAGGAGAGGCTGGGATGGAATTCCCAGAGAAGCTGTGGCTGCCCCTGGATCCCTGGAAGTGTCCAAAGCCAGGTTGGAGCAACCTGGGACAGTGGAAGGTGTCCCTGTCCATGGCAGGGGTGGCACTGGATGGGCTTTAAACGCCTTTCCAACCCAAACCATTCCAGGATTCCAGGATTCTGTGGCTCTGGTGCTGCCCAGAAGACAAAGCCCTTTAAAAGCAGGGAAGCAAATTCCCAAACTCTGCCCTGAGTTCCTGTCAGGTTGGTTTTGGCTTCCTAACCTGCTGCTCCACAGGGATCCCTTTACACCTCCTCGGGCATTTAAAGATCCCTAAAGTGACTGAAACTGCCCAAAGCCAGAATTTCCATGTCTTTTGTGGTTCCTTTGGGCTGCCAAAGATGTGGAAAAGACCTGTGACAGAACTGGCACTGCTGCCCAGCCTGGCTGAGTGCAGGGTCAGGGGATCAGCAGTGGCAGCTGAGCCTCAGGAGCTGCTCCTGGGCCTTCCCCAGGGAGTCATTCCACTTGTTTAAAGCCACTTTGCTGATCTTGAGGGAGGTTGGATCATAGAATCCTGGAATGGTTTGAGTGGGAAGGGAACTTAAAGCCCATCCAACCCCACCCCTGCCATGGGCAGGGACACCTTCCACTAGCCCAGGTCGCTCCAACCTGGCCTTGGACACTTCCAGGGATCCAGGGGCAGCCACAGCTTCTCTGGGCAACCTGGGCCAGGGCCCAGAAGGCAAAGCCCTTTGAAAGCAGGGAAGCAAATTCCCAAACTCTGCCCTGAGTTCCTGTCAGGTTGGTTTTGGCTCCCTGTCCTGCTGCTCCACAGGGATCCCTTTACACCTCCTCGAGCATTGAAAGATCCCTAAAGTGACCAAAACTGCCCAAAGCCAGAATTTCCACGTCTTTTGCGGTTCCTTTGGGCTGCCAGAGATGTGGAAAACAACTGTGACAGAACTGGCACTGCTGCCCAGCCTGGCTGAGTGGGGTTGAGATGAGGCAGCAGCTCTGCCCTGAGCTGTTCCTGCAGCGTTTGCAGCACTGCAGGTTCCTTGCCCTCAGAGTTTGCACCTCCTTCACCCTCTGTTTTCCTTCCAGCTGGGAAACAGGAGCGATTCCCGAGCTCTGGGCCTGGATCAGGGTGTTGTGCCGAGCTGGAAGCACAGCCAGGAGTTTGCTGGGAGCTGGGCTGGAACTGAGCCCCACCACAACCAGGCTCCTCCACAGGGCAGGGAGCTCCAGCAGCAGTGGATTCATAGAATTCCCTGAGCTGGAAGGGACTCACAGAATCAAATCCAACTCCAGGCCCTGCCCAGGACACCTCAGCAATCCCACCCTGTCCCTGGGAGCGTTGTCCAAACCCTCCTGGAGCTCTGGCAGGTTTGTAGGTTAAGGTGATTTGCCTCCCTGTTATCTCCTCGTTGATTTGGGGCTTTCTAGGACACGTTTACCTGCTCTCTTCTTCCTTAATTTCTTCTCCTGCCTGCTTTAGGTGTCCACCCTGCCATGGAGGAGCATCTTCACCTGCTGATGGATCAGAAAACTTGCAGAATCATTGACGTTGGAAAAGTCCAGCCAGCACCGATTCTTCCCCATGGTGCACATTAAAGACAAAATGATGTGAGTATAAAGATATGGATGAATTGTGGAATCCCTGAGGCTGGAAAAGCCCTCCCAGCCCATGGATCCCCCCTGTGCCCGATGCCCACCTTGTCCCCCAGCCCAGAGCACTGAGTGCCACGGCCAGGCCTTCCTGGGACACCTCCAGGGCTGGGCACTCCAAACCTCCCTGGGCAGCCCCTGCCAAGGCCTCACCACCCTTTCCAGGAGGAAATTCCTCCTCCTGTCCCACCTGAGCCTCCCCTTGATGCTTAATAGGTTGATCACCCAGTTCTCTGGACTCACTGACACCTTTTTGCCCCACACAGAAGCTGGTCTGAGATGTGTCAGACAAACCATATCATGTCTCACCTCCCCCGGTGAAACAGGATCTACACAAAGGTAAGGGCAGGAAAAGCAAAAATAATATGATTATTAGAATTCTGCAGGGCAAGTTGCATCTTTTTATCCTGACAAAAAAAAAAACAAAACAAAACACTGGGGCATTGTGAGACATGGAATTAATGGAGACAGCCCTGATTAAATGGGTGGCTGCTTCTCGTAGTAATAAAAGAATTTATGGAAGACCACAGCAGTTCAGCACAGATCAGCTCAAAATACATTCCGAGGCTAATCATGGAGCCTGAGAGCTGTGCAGAGAGTGCTGAATTAATCAGGGGCTCTGGACTATGAAGCACTGGGAAAGGGAGAAAAGAGAAAGGGCCTCGTGTCTGCTCAGTGAACTGCCTGGAGCTGAAACGGTGCCCAGGGACCCCTGGAACAGGAGTCAGCAAAAGGAGTGACCTTCATTAGCCAGGTGCTGACTGGGCACTTTCTGGGGCTGCTTTCAAATGGCTCAGGGAAAGAAATGTCAGGGGAAAAAAAACCATGTGCTTGGAATCAACAGCAATTCCTGGCCTGGTTTCAGAGGAGGGGCCTGTTTGGGGCCTCTAAATGACAGCAGGATTTGGGCTTTGTTGCCAAGTGCCTGCCTTGTTATTTAGTCTGTTTAGCCCTCAACTCTCCAGGGCAAAAATGGGTGTAATAATTCCTCTTTCCTCTCCAGTTCTGTCTTATCTGTTGGGTTTGAAAACATTTCAGGGCAGGGATAACCTTCTTTCCCATAAATACCCCTGTGCTGGGCACGGGGTGCGTGGGGACCCTGCAGGGACACTTTGTCTCGTGTCACAAGTGATTGTGAGGTGTTTTTCCTTGCCTGACCATTAATGTAAGGGGACAGAAATGTTCCTGTCTCCCTACCAGCATCTCCCAGAGCTCCCTGGGATGCAGGTGGGAGGTGGAGGCTCCAGTGGGCACCTTTCTGGGGTGGATTCCCTGCAACTAGGACATGAATTGAGATGGTTGTTCAGGTAGCAAGTGCACACATTGTTCCATTTATCCAGCCAGGAGTGCCCTGCAGCAGGACCAGGGAACTGCAGGACCAGCAATCCAGGGAGAGGATTGCTGCAGAGGCAATTCCTGCAGTGAGGAATGTCCATCAGGAGGTGGAGAGGGAAGTGCCAACCTCTCTGAAGAGAGCTGGCAAAGAGAGACCTGGGGTCTCCAGGGATTTTGTGCAGGTCACAAATGATCCCACAGGTTCACATCCTGGAATTGTTTCCCCAGGGGTTTTGTGCAGGTCCTAAATGATCCCACAGGTTGATGTCCTCAAATTGTTTCCCCAGGGATTTTGTGCAGGTCACAAATGATCCCACAGGTTGATGTCCTGGAATTGTTTCCCCAGGGGTTTTGTGCAGGTCACAAATGATCCCCCAGGTTGATGTCCTGGAATTGTTTCCCCAGGGATTTTGTGCAGATCCCAAATGATCCCAGAGGTTGATGTCCTGGAACTGTTTCCCCAGGGATTTTGTGCAGGTCACAAATGATCCCACAGGTTCACGTCCTGGAATTGTTTCCCCACTTTTCCCCCTCGTGCTCCCCACAGGGACTCTGAGCAGCACAGCAGGAGTTTTGGGCACCCTGAGCAGTGTCCTCTTCAGGAAATTGTTTCACCCTTGGAGGCTGCAAGGACCTCTCCGAGTTCCCCATTCCCTCGTGTGTGAGGAGGTCACTGGTGGTGGCAGATCCTGAAAAAATTATGGAATCCTGGAATGGTTCGGGTGGGAAGAGACCTTAAAGATGATCCAGTGCCACCCCTTGCCATGGGCAGGGACACCTTCCACTAGCCCAGGTTGCTCCAACCTGGTCCTGGACACTTCCAGGGATCCAGGAGCAGCCACAGCTTCTCTGGGCAACCTGGGCCAGGGCCTCCCCACCCTCCCAGCCAGGAATTCCTTCCCAATATCCCATCTATCCTTGCCCTCTGGCAGTGGGAAGCCATTCCCTGTGTCCTGTCCCTCCATGCCTTGTCCCCAGTCCCTCTCCAGCTCTCCTGGAGCCCCTTTAGGCCCTGCCAGGGGCTCTCAGCTCTCCCTGGAGCCTTCTCTTCTCCAGGGGAACCCCCCCAGCTCTCCCAGCCTGGCTCCAGAGCAGAGGGGCTCCAGCCCTGGAGCATCTCCATGGCCTCCTCTGGACTCTCTCCAGCAGCTCCACATCCTTATGTTATTGTTCCCAGGACTGGAGCAGCTCTGCAGGGGGGATCTCACCTGAGCAGTCAAGGGGAAGAATCCCCTCCCTTGACCTGCTTGGATATGTCCTTCCATGGACCTTGGATATGTCCTTTCACATACCTTGGACACATCCCTGGGCAGGAGGTGAATCCCCCCCAGGGCCCATCTGCTCTGAGCTGCCTCAGCAGCCCCCACATCACCCCAGACGGCTTCTCACCCTGCCGAACTCACAGCAAAAAAAACTTCAGGGGAGAATGATGCTGATAAGAACAAACAGAGGGATTAAGCCCAGCTCCTCCAAGCTGTGTTTAGCCCTGTAATTCCCACGGCAAACAGGAATCCTCAGGGGCTTGGCACGAGCTGAGCCAGTTAGAAAAGCATCAAGATTAGACAAAGCTGAGTTTGCTTTCCTTTGATCTGTAACTCTCTCCTGGTTTTTAAGGATAAAACGTGAGGCAGGAGACCTTTCCCAGAGCAGGGAGCAGAACCCTGAGCTCCCACTGCCAGGGGGACTCTGTAGGGATCTCTGGGGAAGGGGACGGGGCAGGAGGTGAGGTGGGAGCTTGTGTTTGTGGTGGCAGGTTTGCCATTTATCCCAGAATCCCAGGATGGTTTGGGTTGGAAGGGACCTTAAAGCTGATTTTGTTCCACCCCCTGCCATGGGCAGGGACACCTTCCACCAGCCCAGGTTGCTCAGAGCCCCATTTAGAGACAGGTAGCATTCCCAAAAACCTCCCCAGCCATAAACCAAAACACTCCTGAGTTTTAAAATTGCTTTGTGCAAAAATATTGATATGCCCTTCAAAAGTTTCATTTTGCCCACTGTATTTTGTTCTACAGAAACTTCCATTCCAGGAACACTGGGAAGATGAAGAGAGAAGAAAATAAAGTCCCAGGGGATGACAGGCACCTCTTGGTGTTCAGGAACTCCTCATGAGGTGGTGTCTTCTTGCACCAATTCGTCCCCAAGGTGCACATTAAAGACAAAATAATGGGAGTATAAAGATATGGATGAATTGTGGAATCCCTGAGGCTGGAAAAGCCCTCCCAGCCCATGGATCCCCC